GGTTCATAATATATCCGCCCAAAATGGAAAACAGTAGTTATGGTATTAATTACTCTATTTTTCAATGTAGTTCTGGCTCTGCGTTTTCAGAGAGAAAAGCCGTTTTTAGATGCATGACATGATTCCAGCTAGTGACGCCCTCTCAGCGGCGAGCATATGAGGCAAGAATAAGTTCATTGTAGATGTTCCGTTGTTAAAAATTTGTTAACACGTGATAACAGTGGCCAGAGGAAGACTGGGATAAAGGTGCCGCGCTATTTTGGGAGGTAAAGAAGAGGTTGACCCTCTACTTCTTATCTATTGTGTGGTAAGAGTTTGATTTTGTTCTGCTATAGAGCACTCTAACTACCGTCTATATCTCAACTTTCTCCGTTCGCTTTCTTGAACACCATACAAATTGAGGAAGAAACTCTCACTGACACATGAAGCGGTGCACGTTTTGATAGATACTTGCTCTGTATGATGCGGCTATTCAAACGCAGATAAAACGAATAATGGGAAAATATAAAGCACTAAATTTATTACGGATTTGGTATTTAATATATGATCTTTACAACGTGATGGTCATTGAAGTTTTTTGCATTTGGAGCATATGAGTGCTCATTAAAAGCATTAATTTCAGAATTTTCAATTGAGATTCTTCATCACATGATGCTCTCAGGCCATACTGCTGCTTCAGGCGCGGGAGATGCATTTGTTCGATGGAGCTATTAACGGCGGGGATGCAACCAGTTACCGGCTTTGGCCAAAGTCTTACGAAACATTATCTTGAAAACCTGTTTTCCGTGACTGATTGTCGATCATGTCATTTCACTAAGCACATGCCGTATTTGCACTACTACTTCAGGTTGAAATTACAATGCTTACATTTGCATAATTTAGACGGAACATTTGTTACTATCTTTAGAATGTTAACTTACAAAGCAAGAGGAAAGGTGCTATTAAAATCGTTATTGGATGGCAATAAACAAATGTGTTCACAAATCTTTCAGCTGGAAAGATGTACAACGCCTTAATGATCATGTGCCTCAGAGGTACTACTTCTAAACATACTGTGAGGCGGGTTAGTGGCTACTAGAAAGTGCATGTTAAGAGTTCCAGGAACCGGTTAGTATCTGCGGTTTACAGTTATACAGTTTTTATTTTGCCATGACTTGAATTGCGGCTCATTGACTTAAACTATATGCAAAGTGCCATTTTCTCGTTTATTAAATCAAGAGGTAAACGAAAATGAGGATTGAGGAATTTCGTGCCAGCATATTAACAAACAAACTGCAATTCTAATCTGCGGAACGGCGTATCTTTGTTAATTAACGGCAAATTTCATTCAATGAGAAATTCTTTAGGTTGTGTTTTGGCAACGCCAAAATAGTCAGAAGCAGGCAAAACACATTTTAATAGCAAGTTATCTGACTTGACCATGCAAGTGTTTCCCTAAACCTCAAACCACGCTGTTCAATATGCACATCTTAAATATATCGGATGCTCATCTTCATCAATTTGGTACCTGCTATCCCTTTCCCCCCCCCCACCACAAACGAAACGATCAAGGTCAAGAATATCACTCATGCTGGTGGGCGGTCCAACAGTGTAGCAAATGAACAATGCCTTCTGGAGATGGTGATGTAGGACAGTTTCACAGTCGGTTGTTTGCTCGAGCTTGGTTCCTGCCGAAAGCACTAAATTGAAAAAATCTGTATATTTCGAACGCTATGTTCATTTAGTTTAGACTCATGTTGGAAGTTGCTACTTCTCCATGTCGTGACGACGTTTCTGCTTCTAGAAAGCCCGGGAGAATTGAGTTTGTACCTCCATTTTAAAATTGCCTCGAAGCTGAGGCACATGCAAGCAAATCAGGTGGAGGCGGAAAGATTGTTGACTGATGCGATTAAGACAAGTAATAGGAAAATCGAAGACCTAAAGATTGGCAAAGAGATGTCCCAAAAAGATGTATTGTGACAATATACAACGGAGTGAAACAATGAAGGTTAATACAGACTCCAGATTGCAATGAGGAAATTGTGCTGTGCTTAGAAACAAAGTCCATTTTCACTCTACGCCCACGTCACCGCCCCTTTGCTTTTAGTGACCTGTTAAATGGTCCCTTTAGGCAATATTGAGGTACAAACCGTTGTATGACCTCCATTTTTTACTTTACGACAGTGTGAGTATAAAGTAAGAAATGGATTTTTTCTTTACACACCACAGTTTTTCTGTTCCGGAATCCGGAATCTGTGTTCATCTGTATTGTCATACGGACCTCCCATTTGTGGAAGCTGCCCAAAAACATCAGGGTTGTATATTATGTGATCATATGACATGAAACAATGCTGTGCTACGTAACTCTTAGGAAGAAATTGACGGTGAAAGACGATGATGAAATGGACCACCTAGGCTATGTGGCATGATGCCGGAAGTAAAAGAATATCTTCATGAAGGATGTATCATAATTCTGCAGCTTCTGTATTAAGTAGTAATTTCTGTTGCTACCGCATATGAGAAGCTCACTGGGGTGCTTCAGCTCTAAGAGGCCTTTGCCGATAAGCACTGTAAATACATACCCAGTATTTTGTCAATGACATTATACGACATGAGAAGATTATCGATTTCTGCTTCACCTGTGCACTAATAGAACTGCTTGAGCCGGAACATGCGCAGATTTGGTTTATTAGTGACTCACTGGAATGAACAGAGAACGACTCTACTAAATTCGTTCGTAGTTTGCTGGCAATCTGTCAATAAGTAGATATGCTGACTTCCGAGGACTCTTTTTCGATTTGTCTACTAGGGTGGTTCTTACAATCCTGTGTCAAGAGTATCTGTTATTTATTTTACGCTGGTGTAAAGTAAGATTTTGGGTGACCTTGCGCTGCTCAACTTAATTTGAGACAGCACGGTGGCTCGCTTGAGCAACCATCTGGAGCCACTCTTACTCCTTGCGCAACTTACTCAAGATATCTACATGTACCTGATGACTAACCATGAAATCAGAGCATCATTTATTTGCTCATTCATTTTTAAAGCCTGCTGACTTTTTCTGAACCCTCGGCAAAGCGGCTTAAGATGGACTTTGAAATATCGATGATCAGCTGCCAAACGTACAATTCCAAAGTTCTTAATCCTAAGGTACCACCCTGAAAGTCCTTCTGCATAACCGAATCATATGATCTGCGGTCATTAGACTGCTGTTTTCTGGCTTTGTGGATAGAGTACCCTGGAAAGTGTGGTATGTAGCTTTTTCATTATATGACAAAACCATCGCAATTTTGATTTGATCTGAACTATGACCTACTGATATTTCAAGCTGTGTTGGTCTGCGCCAAGTCTCACAACAATCGTTCGAAGAAACCTGATTTCTGTCAGTTGCGCCAAAGATCGATCAATAAGCCATACTCATGACCATGGCTAAGGATAGGATGTTTATTCAAGCATGAAGACCAAGTGCTACGATCTTTATCTTCATTATAGATCGGACTTACTTCCGCCTTTAAACGATTGCCCTGATAAATTTTGTGTATATTTATATTTTGACGTTTTGTGCACCATCAAAAGTGAGTCTAATCTTGAGCGCGAACACAAAATGAAACCATAAATTAAAAGATGGTAAACGTTTAGCACTATTTAATGTGCAAGGAAATCGAGGTTGTGGATTACAATAGGTAATTTGAATAGCAGTTTGATAATGAACAGCTTTGAAAAAGTATGTGGAAAACAGGGACTCTACGAAAGCGGTAACACCGATCAGCAACGTGGAAAAACCAAGGCATTGAGGTATGCCGCTAGAAGGTGAGAATTCACCGTTCATAGTAAGTCTACAGGGCCTGTGGCATTCGAGATGTCTGAGAGTACTTTACAATACTAGGCGACTAATTCGGTTCAAAATTTTGAACAGGTACTCTTTGGTGTGCTAACAATCGTCTGTCAACTGAACCGCAATCCGATCAAAGTACTCGCACAGATTGTCCGTCCAATCAGCGACGACCTGTAGATAGCCCGAAAGGAAGAAATGACGATCTGGAGAAAGATAGCAGCTTCGTCGCAGATCTGGGAAACAGCCAGATCTCATTATGTTAATAATTTAGCCTTTGCGAATGACGAGCCGAAAAACAACGAATAATCAATTTGTGATATATCATCGAGTGTTTATGTAGTATTACTGCGAGGCGGAAACGTTTATCAATTTTATTGGATTAATTACGACGACGAATCGCAGCGAACGTCGGTTCATTTATTATTCATTTGAGCTTTGTTTCGCCTCAGGGCCGATAAACGCCGCCGTGTGTAGCACATGTCACGTATAAACGCTCGGCGATTAGTTCTTTCGAACCGTCATCGTCTCTACTGTCTTATCCCAGTCCGAAATGCTCCCTTAAAATGAGTTCGAAAAAACGGGGCGAAGATTTGTCTGCGTCGCCAGGTCTTCGACCAACTAACTAATTGAGTGCCCCCCCCCAGTCCTGCTTTTTTTAAGTTGGACCACATAGAAGGCGAATATTAAAATTTGTGACCAAAGTTTGAGGCTGTATAAGGAAGTGTCGTTAGATTAGGCCCTCCCGGAATAACCGTACAGTTGGAACCTTAAGCGCGCTTTTCGTACCCGATACCGCTCTGCATTGACTGCAGCGCGCGCCGGTTTGTGCTGCCGGCGGCACAATTGGCCGGCATCAACAGCTCGACCAATCAGAACATTCGCTCCGCCTCCCAAAACTAAGTCGTCGCCGCTGAGCAGTTGGTTAGCATTCGACAATTTAAGCTCGGGCACGGACGGATAACCCAAATTTATGACTGTATCTCTCCTGATTCATAACCATCGTTTGCCCGGACCCCTTCGGGCCTTATTCCGTCCCCTGTGCGGAGGTTCAGCGTCCTCGATTCGAAACATCAGTGAAACACCGACGACCTATCGCTGAAAATGCAACAGCGTTGTTCCTGGCAGTGGCCACCGTCGTCGACGTTCCATTCTGACTCGACACTG